TATAGTCATTAATAAAATAAATTAAGTTATACATATTAATAAAACGTATGCAATCTGCACCCTTGAAATGAAAGTACAAAGACTGCCACCTGGTGCACAGAGAAAACTTATTGATTTGAACTTTTTAGATCGCTTTAGTACAAATTGTGTATAATAGAAATGCACAATATGTGACTTTTTTAAAGCAATAATACATTTATGCAGTCATAAACTTGTTTTGACAGTTAATATGCCAGTGATTTGATGCTTCACAAAAGTTGCAGACGCCTTTACCAATATCAAAATGCTTTTGTAAACAACCAGTTATTCCATACAGCAATTAAAAAACGGCTACTATAATAAAGAAAATCTTTTCTAAATGTAGAAATAAATACATTGATATGCATTGAAATACATGATGAATAATCTTGACACATGAAAGTGTAAAGCCTGCAGCTCACAACAAATGTGGAAGGTTATTGCGTGTCATATTTAACAAACCGTTTGCTGCTAGTTTGATGTAATTTTGCTCACATAGATAATTGAATATTAATCAGATGATGTCATTACGCTGCTGTGCCGTCAGCCAATCGTTGCATTGCTGATCATGATTTCGAGGATCGATAGATCTGTCCTTCACAACACACGCAGCGATCTCAGATCAGTTTATCCAGACATTCTAATGTGATTCGCGAACTTGTTTGAAGAACCAAATTAGCGAGAGATCAGTTATCAAGATTAAAAGATCCAGGATCTGCCAAATCATCTTAGATCATTTAAGCGAGGTCCGAAGAACAGACCCCTGGTCTTGTAAATTCTTGTTTTGGTGTCAGAGCTCGGACACTAGCTCTGTTCGGTCCTGTTTATGTCTCTGTGTGCGCGCGCCGTCGTGGGTGTACGCAGAGTGTGCGCGCTCCCGCTTGATGCCTCTTGTACTCGTGTTTGTGTTTTCGTCTGTCTGCCGTGTGGTGTTTCATTCCCAGCTTCTCAGTCTAGTTGTTTTCGGTTTTGGTCGACGCTGGGATGAAGCATGCAGCGTGCAAGTGTGAGCGCACGGTGAGTTTTCATTCATCGTGTGCTCGTGTCTTGCGTCTGTTGTCAAAGCACGTGGCTCTGTGTTTACATTGTGGTCACGTGCTTTTGTCGTGTGCTTCAGTGTTGTGCTTGTCTTGTCATGAACATGGGTTAATGATTTCTCTCATTGGCTGCATGTTCTTGTCCTGTTTTATTTGAGCGCATGGCATGTCTCGTCTCTGTCATGTGCTCTCCCGTCTATTATCTAGTCCCACCCCACTTAACCCATTATTAGTTAATTATGTTCATCTGTTGTGTGTTCATTTTCTCCTGCTTAAAATCTCCTCATGTCTTCTGTTCTGTGCCAGTTTGTCGTCTATACTCCCTCTGTTCCTGTTCCAGTCGTGTCTTGCCAGCCCAGCCAAGTTTGTCTGTTTGGTTTATAGTTATGTTTTCCCCCCTCGGGGTAGTTTGTTTTGCCTTTTTGTTTTATTTGTACTTTATTATTAATAAAACCCTTATTAATGTTGCAACTGAGCCCTCGCTCCTTTCCCCCTCACCCGACCGTGATATTAATACTCAAGTAAAAGTAAAAGTAACAAACTTAAAGTTACTCGAGTAAAAGTAAAAAAGTATCTGATGAAAAAGTTACTCATGTAAATAGTTGACCCTGACCCTAAATAGACACTACAAAATTCTACACCTTTACATGGGACCACTTCTTTTTAATTCACTCACAGTGTGATGTTCAGACCCCACTGTGTTAACCGCGTCAGCTAAACTCTCCCTCCTCAATTTTTTTCCTTTTGTTAATAATTCCGGAGGACAAACTTGCAAATAACACCGTTTTTCTCTGGTCTACCTCCGATAGGATCACCTCCAATTCACATTCTGTTTAAAGTTTCTCTTCTTGCTTGCTCTTGCCATTGCTTTTTCTTACTTTTTGCCAAAGTAGAGTCATTACCATATTTATAAGAGGGCGGAGGCAGGGAGGGATTTTGCGCTCGTGCACGTGCGCTCAGTTTCATGTTAATTCAAATGTACAAAAAGAATATAGGTGGGATTCCACGTACGCAGTGTTTCATACATCTGAATTTTTTACTGCGTACGCACATTACCAGCTTGTATCAATGTTTTAGTATAATTTCAATGCAAGTCTTCGTGCATGAGGTCCCTGGTGACTTTGGACTTGACCTTTGAAGATGAAAAATTTGTTAAGATGGTTTTGTTAAAAAAAAATGAAAACACAGGAAGTGACAAAGGAAGACATTGAGCTGTTTAAGCATTCATGCACAGCAGCTCAGAATGGAGAAATAAATCATGCGTTACGAGACACTCTTTTATTTAAAAGTATCAAAAAACTACTTTTACAATGTTGTCAAACTATACATTTTGTTAATTGACTATATCCATAGCATTGCTGTTTGTTAATGAGGCATACTATAATAAATGTTTGATTTTGAACTTTCATTTGCTCACAAACCACTCCAGCATTTCATTAAACTGTGATATAAATTTGCTGCAGCAAATAATTAGCAGAGATCAACCCAGGAGCCCTCCCTGGAAATATGTGCCCAGGGCTACAATTTTGAGAACCGAGAAATATGTTTTCACAAATCCACTAGAGGGCGCTGAGTACATTTTTTCTTATTTCATATGTTAAGTATGTTACTAGGGCACATTTTCTCATACGTGCCATTTCTCTTTAACACATCAGAGGCTGCTGTAAACATTTCTGCGAATCTTAATGCCATCTTGAGTGCATCGTAGGCCCACACGGAATCTGCGCTCGCAAAATTCTGCAGATATTCCTCAGATATTCCTCAGATTTTCCGCAGATTTCTAGCCCATCATTAATTCTGTTTATTTACTTGAGTAAATGTGTGTAAATCTATATTTATTCAGTTTTTTTTTATTAATTTCAGTAATATTATTGACTAATGTGAAAATGTTCATGTGATTTATGTACAATACAGTTTGTACAGTATTATTTTCTGTCTTTTACTAGATATATTATATGACAAACTTGCTTAATTTACCAAAAAAAGTAAATCTAACTGGATTTTTATTTTAAAAATTAAATAAAAGTTTAAAAGATATATTTTTTATTTCATATATTAAGGTATCCCAAATAATTCTGCAGACTTTTACCAAAATTCTCTGGAGAAATATCAAAAAACGTCCGCAGATTCTGTCTGGCCCTAAGGTATAATATATCATCTTAATATCGACTGAACCACACACTCCTTTCACTAAACCCAACCCATAGTGTTTTCAAAAGCAAATTACAAGAGAAAAGCCATAGTAGCTGTGTGCTTCTAACCACATCACACTACTTTGGTGAAGTTTTGTTTGATCTGGTTTCTGAAACCATCCTTCATTGGACTCAAACTCTGGTCTACTCTTCATCCCAAATCTGACACTGACCTACCAAACAAAGCACTGGTAGCATTTGTTTTACACATAAAATGCGTCCATATGTCTCCACAAGCACATACAGTTAAAGTCTAAATTATTTGTCCTCCTGTGAATTTTTGTTTTATACATATTTCCCAAATTAAGTTAACAAGGCAGGGAAATGTTCACATTATTTCCTAAAACATTTTTTCCTCTTGAGAAAGTCTTATTTGTGGGTTTTTTCAGCTAAAATAAAAGCAGTTTTTATTTTTTAAAACCATTCAAATCCCAATATTATTAGCCCTCTTAAAGGTTCAAGACACCTTTGAGTACTTTTTTTTTTTTTTAGATTTGAACAGATTCGTTGAGCATCGGCTAAGACAATGTTAGCACCTTTCAGCTTTAATTGTGGATAATTTTGAGCTTTCGTCAGCTAATTTCCACTTCTGGGTTTAAAATAATTTTGGGGGTGGGTTCCAAATCAGTGACATCAATATCTGCTGGCTAAGTTCTGATTATTATTCATAGGAGTTTTCTTATCCAATGAGAAGACCCTGCTTCCTAATTATTCCTTCTAAAGACAGACCTGCCAAGCTGTGAGCACGGCAGACGGTATTTAGCCATTCATGAAGGCTTGTATGTGTTGATTCCGTGATCCATAGGGTTTGTTTTATTGCTTTCCCTGCGATGCTTTCAGGGCTACCGATCCAGCAAAGCTGTTTGCGTGTAGCAAGCATTTTTGCTATGAGAGCTGTATGAGAATTGGAGAATGGCGGATTTGTCGTTTAACAGTTGAGTTTGTTACCATTCAGACACATCACCTATATCCGTGCTGCTGTTTTTGCCTATGTTTAAAATCATTCAGACTACCCAGCAGGGCTAATGGTTGGAATATTCAGGGGAAGAGACCTGCTGCACTGCTATCCACTGTGTCTGCATTCAGACCTGGGAATTCAGAAAAAGATAAGTCCTTCTCATTTAGAGTCCTTATATTTACATGATTGTCTTTTTAATGATAGAACAAATTGTGGTTATGTGTGTTTTAATTCATTCATTTTCCTTTAGCTTACTCTATTACAGAGGTCACCACGTATGTGTATATTTTATATGAAATTTTGAATAACTATCAAATATGAAGCAGGACATTAAATCACTTACTGTTTATTTATTTGCACTCTAAATTTGATAACTATAAAATCATGAACCTCCTCATGGTTTGTGTCTGATTTTCTGTAGTCTGATTTTGTGAGCCGACTGAGTTGTTTGCTCCCCTCAATCTCCCCTGCTCTGCCGGTCACGCCCACACCTCCCTCTGCTCTCCACGCTCATCATGGAGCATTTTTTTTTAGACTTGAACCAAATGAGAGGGGTTTCATGGCCCTTCAAGCAGTATTTTTTTACATTATCTACAAACAAACTACTGTTATATAATGACTTGCCTAATTACCCTACCTTGCCTTGTTAACTTAATTAAGCCTCTAAATGTCACTTTAAGCTGAATACAAGTATCTTGAAAAATGTCTAGTCAAAGATTACTTGATGTCATAAAAAAAAATCTTCTTTGCATTAAACAGACATTATAAAAACAAAATATATCGGAGGATATATGATATTCTCGGTTCTCAAAAATGTATCCCTGGGCACATTTTCCCAATGAGCCTGTACTGGCTAAATACTCATGCAATCAGCATGTGCATGCTTGACTTTCTTTCAGAAAGCATAGCAAACTGCTCATCTTCTTTAAGCGTAAGCTGGCTGTATAAATGACATGGATTGACATGCAATGCACAGCAGACCGATCAATGCAAAACAAAAATGACTTATGCTAGCGGATGCTGTCATCAGTGCTCTGCGTTTTCTCATCATTTCTCCCCACAGTTTTCCCCTGGGTGAATAAGGGACCGTGAACAGCCGAATGGAACCAGGGACAAGGCAAACGCCTCACCAGTGCCCGCAGGATGTTCTTGAAAGTCTCTCTGAGCGCCGAAGACGAGAAGTAGAAGACGAAAGGATCGAGGCATGCATTGAGCGTGCTGCTGAGGAGAGCCTCTGTTCTCCATTCAGAGCTGCGGTTTTTTAGAAAACCGTCCACGTGGGAGATGTTGAAGGGCATGAAACAGATAGCAAAGACCAAAAGGGTTCCCAACGCCATCCCGATAGCTCTAAAACGCTTCTTAGCATTAACGTTGGACAAACGGGACAGTATAAGGATGCACTTGATGTAGCAGAAGCAGCAGATGATGAAAGGAAACAGGAAGAACACAAAGGAAAGCTCTAGTCGAACCGGAACTAGGATCTTCAGCTGTTCAGAGCTGAATTCTTCATAGCATGTGTTACGCTTGGACGGATCAGTGATGTTGGGGTTGAAATAATTGAGGTACTGCGTGATATAAACAACACTGCAGTGCGCCATTGACACAAACCAGAATATGACCGTGGCGATCAATGCATTCCTGGGGTTGCGTTTGAGTTTGTATTTAATAGGAAAGGCCACACCGAGGTATCGCTCAACACTGATGGCCGTCAGATGGAGGACGCTGTTGCAGATGATGGAGTAGAAGATGAAACCCGACAGCGGGCAGAGGAAATATGGCAGTGTCCACTTCATGTTGGCCGCCTCCACCATGCGGAAGGGCAGGAAGAAGAGGAAGACCAGGTCAGAGATGGTCAAACTGAGTAGCAGCACGTCCATCGGGGTGGAGCGCTGCCGAACCTTCTGGAAGAACGTGTAGAAAGCCAAGATGTTTGCGGGAAAGCCTGTGACCAGCGTGAAGCCGTACACACCCAACACCAGGTTACTGAGATGCTGTGTCCACACCATAGTCACAGTAGATGCAATAAACACTCTGTAAAATGTAAAAAGAACATGTAAAGTTTTACAATGTGTACAAAAGGCTGCGCAGTTGTTCAAATCTGCATTTGCTGAAAGACAGTTTGGCCTACATATCGGAATTATGAGAGATGTCGGTCCGACTCTATTTTATTGGATGAACATTTTTTCATTTTATGCCCTACCTAAAATATAAAAATGCATATAAACACATTTAGATCATTTACTTTAATCATTACTATTAGACTGTGATGAGACTTTCAACCTGCACAACAAAAAAATGCTTCTGAAGACAATCACCTACTGCACCTTTAATGAAATAAAAGAACATTATGGCATGCGATATTATTATTAGGAGCTGACAAATTTACATTTACATTTAGTCATTTAGCTGACGCTTTTATCCAAAGCGACTTACAAATGAGGACAAGGAAGCAATTTACACAACTATAAGAGCAACAATGAATAAGTGCTATAGGCAAGTTTCAGGTCAGAACAGTCTAAGAAGGAAAGTATTAGTAATATTTTAGTCATTTTTATTTTATTTATTTATTTATTTTTTTGAGTACAGTTAGTGGTATATCTAGAGAGGCAATTGCAGATTAGGAAGGGAAGTGGAGACTAAATAGTTGAGTTTTTAGTCGTTTCTTGAAGACAGGGAGTGACTCTGCTGTTCTGATGCAGTTAGGGAGTTCATTCCACCAGCTGGGCAGATTGAACGCGAGAGTTCGGGAAAGTGATTTCTTCCCTCTTTGGGATGGAACCACGAGGCGACGTTCATTCACTGAACGCAAGTTTCTGGAGGGCACATAGATCTGCAGAAGTGAGAGCAGATAAGAAGGAGCAAAGCCAGAAGTCGCTTTGTAGGCAAACATCAGAGCTTTGAATTTGATGCGAGCAGCAGCTGGCAGCCAGTGCAAACGGATGAGCAGCGGAGTGACATGTGCTCTTTTAGGTTAAAAATTGTTGATTATGAGATAAAAGTAGCAACTTCAACATGTAATTATTATGAAATTTTATCATAAGAAAAGTTGATCATTAGATAAAACATTTTGAGAAGCCAAGTCAAATGCTTTAGGTCAAAATTGTCAATTATGAGTCCGAAAGTTACAATAATAACATAGTGTAAAGGTGAAATAAAAGTTGAAACTGGCCACATTAGAAAAAACTAAATCGCATACTTCTATACTATACAGTACACCTAAATCAGTATGCGAGCTGAGCAGTATGTCCGAATTTAAAGAATTCGAAAAACAGTATGCAAGTACCCGGATGACCTACTACTTCTGGCGAGAAGTGTGCATCCGATGCATGCTATGTTATCCCATGACGCACCATGAGAGAATTCATGAATGGGAGTAAAGAGACGCAACTGATGCATGTGATCATGACAAAATGACGGTCATACTTCTCACATACTTTTACGAATGGTCGAATAGTACATTTAAATTAAAATGCAGTACCTACTGTGTAGTAGGCGAGTTCGGCCAAACCTACGTACATAAAGTTGAAGTCAGAATTATTAGCCCCCCTTTAAATATAATTTTTTTCTTTTTTAAATATTTCCCAAATGATGTTTAACAGAGGAAGGACATTTTCACAGTATGTCTGATAATATTTTTTCTTCAGGAAAAAGTTTTATTTGTTTTATTTCGGCTAGAATAAAAGCAGTTTTAAATTTTATAAACACTATTTTAAGGACAAAATTATTAGCCACTTTAAGCTATATTTTTTCCAGATAGTCTACAGAACAAACCATCGTTATATAATAACTTGCCTAATTACCCTAACCTGCCTAGTTAACCTAATTAACCTAGTCAAGCTTTTAAATGTCACTTTAAGCTGTATGGAAGTGTCTTGAAAAATATCTAGTAAAATTTTACTGTCATCATGACAAAGATAAAATAAATCAGTTATTAGAGATGAGTTATTAAAACTATTATAGTTAGAAATGTGTTGACAAAATTTTCTCTCCATTAAACAGAAATTGGGGAAAAAATAAACAGGGGGGGCTAATAATTCTGACTTCAACTGTATTACACTAAGTCAAGCTTTTGAGATCAGTCAAATGAGGAGATGAAATAAAATGATGAGTCAAAATGATAAATAAATGATGACCATAAAAAGCTAATCTAATAACTGTGGCTGTAATAATAGAATTTAAAGTGTAAAGCTGCTGAGGGTCCCTCAGCACATCTTTTCTGGTCTTGTGTTCAAATTCAGAATTTTTGATTAGAAATATTCCAGTTTTTTCTAAGGTTTAGGATTGTGTTTTACTCCCTGACCCAATCATAGCAATTTTTGGCTGGTCAGATTTTCTTGAGACTCTCAACCGAAATGTACGGTTACCTGTTAAGTATAGCATGATCATAGCTAATAAAGTTATACTTTGTTTATGGAAAAAAAATGTTAGGCCTCTTTTTTCTGATTGGCTTCTCGGATTCACTTGCACTTTACATTTGGAAAGAATAATACCACCTCTGGGAACTCTGCGAAATTTGATAAAATGTGGGATCCAGTCTTTTTTTTTCTGAAACACCATAAAGACTAAGGGTGTTGTTTAATTTCTAAAGATGTGTAAGTTTTTTTTCTCTCTACATCCATTGCTGTGTTTTTGTAGGTCATATATGTTTTTTTTAAAGTCACCATTTTCTCTTGTTTCTTGCTTTATTTTACATTTTGCACAGATTATTGTCTCATGATGGGTTTGTCTGTCTGTTCTTTGTTTTTCTGTCTGCAAAAATTATAATAAAAAAATATTTTAAAAACAGAATTTTAATTAACTGATTTAACTTAAGTGTAAAATGTTTTAAAACATGTAAATTCTGATGAATTCAGTGACCTGCTTAAACACAGTATTTAACTAATGTGTTAAGAGTGTCATATGTGGCACATAGAATTAACACATTTCATCTTAACAGGAAGTTGATAAGCATCTCTTCATTACCAAAAACTGACAAGCAAACTGACAGTCAGCTTTTATTTAATCCTCATGTTATTTTCCTCTACAGGCTGTGATATATAATCCTGCAATGTCTTGACCACACAATCCACCCTGAGGGAAGAAAAACGTGATAATTTTGGAAAGTGGGTCACTTAATAATTGCAATAAAACATCTCAATATAGATTGGACTGATTAAAATAAACAGAAATAAACATACTACTAAAATATCAGTATATTAGGAGTGAAAATAAACTACTTTGAATATGTACTTCACACTTTAAATAAACCACAGAAAGATTTTAGGACAGGCTCAGAAAAAGTGTTAATTTACTCTGATGCATTTCAGGAAACGCAATCGGAAATCCCTCACGGCCTCAGGTGTCACGAAAGAAAAAAACATAGCTTCGCAACACACACAGATCCAAATGCATGATTAAGTTGTTGTGGTGTAGTGATATTTAAGGTAAACAGAGTATCTATGCAGCAATCAGGTTATCACTGAAAAAAGTGTTGCATGCAGAACTGTTGCAAACAATTTATTTGTGTTGAATCTAAACAAACAAATTAAGTTTAATAATGTTCAACTTAATTTGTTTGTTTAGATTCAGCCCAAATAAATTGTTTACAAACACTTAACAAACAAAAATTTAGTAAATCCAAGAAATCATCTCTGAATTGTTTTTTTTTCAGTAAAAATGACTAATGAAATAATTTTACTCATGCATTAGAAAAAAAATATATATATAAGCAACACATAATTCTGCAACACACAAACACACACATATTTAGATCAAAATGCATGATTAAGGTTTTGTGGTGTAGTGATGGTTAAGGTAAATAGAGTATCTCTGCAGCAATTATCATAGCATTCAGTAAAATTGACTAATTAAATAGTTTTACTCATCATGCATTAGAAAAAATAATAAGCAACACATAACACACACACACACACACACACACACACAAACACACGCACACACACATGATTAAGGTTTTGCGGTGGTAATTAGAGTATCTATGCATCAGTCATCGTATCATTCAGTAAAACTGGCTAATGAAATAGTTTTACTCATCATGCATTAGTAAAAAAAAATAAGCAACACATAATTCACCAACACACACACACACACACACATTCAGATCAAAATGCATGATTAATTTGTTGTGGTGTAGTGATGGTAAAGGTAAATAGAGTATCTATGCATTTCTTTACTGAAGGATACAATCAGGATACGATGACGTTATTGCTGCATAAATTAGTAAATAAAGTATCTCTACATCAGTCAGGTTACCATGTTCTTCAGTTAAACTGGCTAATGATTTCACTCATCATGCATTCATATAAAGGGGTCAGCTTCAGAATCCATCCTTCAAAACTACAACTGCATCATATGATTTGAATATGGTTTATTATTAAGTTTGCATTAGCAGTTACCAGTTAGAGATGTGAAACTTCTAAAAGGGGAGTGCCTGCTCTTTCATATGCAAAAATATAGGTTATAAATTATAATGTGAGAAGGAAAAAAAAACTTGTAGCCGTTTCCTTTCCATAAAGAAAGATAATGTGTGAGTACATCATATGTAAAAATATCATCTCACACAAATATGTGGGTCAAAGTCTAGATGTCTGATTGTGACGTCTGTATCAAATAAAATAACACTGTCTACACGTTGAAAGCATATTAAATACAAGTACTTACAATTTCCTGATAACATTTGCTGTCTAAATATTGATGAAATAATGTGCCATCATCATTCAAGGTAATTGATATACTGTATTTCTGGCCTTATTAAAATAGACAAAAGAAGAAGCGATCATACTACATTTTCGCACATTTGTAATCATTAAAGTTGTTTAGCTTATTGATCAAAGCATGTGGTTTAAATGATTTAAGGTATATAAACAACAGTTTTGCTAAATGACATTTTAGTGGAAATCTTTTAGAAATCTTTTGTAAAAAAAACAAAACAAAAACAGAAAGTGGCCTTAACTAATATGATTAGTCATTTGTTACAATTTACTTGTGTAAATATATGCATTCACATTGTACTTTATAATGGGCGGTTATAAGTTTCTGACGGTATGATAACCTTAGATAAAAATATCACGGTTTTAGGAAACATTTATCATATTTTGGAGCTGTAAACATGTCAGCCTAAATTATTTAAATAAATCACTCA